ATATTATAAACAACTCATATTATTTATCATATTTGCGTATTTGAAGTTGGAGTATGTTTTCTTTTTTGCAAATTCAGGAGTTTTTACTATACTTGAGATAGATTTTAGAGCTCAAACGGTCAATATAACGACATAAATCACTACAAGACATGATATGATGAGCATATTCTGATTTTGATGCATTCTAGACTGATTTGTCAAAAACAAAAATATTTGTTTATAAAAATTTAAGTACTTCTACTTGTATTCAACGTATTCAATCTGTCAGATTCAATCTGGTGCTAGTTACTAATAAAAACAAACAAATTTTATGACATACCTACTTATTAACGATCCCTTTAGAAATTTTAAAAAATGATGAGTTCTCCGCATTTAACATTGGTTTCAAGAATACATTCAGTACAAATGTATATATTTTTATCTAATAAATATGTTACTATTTACATATTTTATCCTAAAAAGTTTATAAATAAGATAGATGAGGTTTTTTAATTTGAAAAATGACAAAAACTTTGTGTTTTGAGGGACTGTTTTGGATATTAAAACAGATAAATAATTCCTGTTATATCAATATAAATACATTAAGAAATTTTTAATATAGGAAATTAAGACTAATAATTAGTCCATTAATAAACATAGTTAAATAATCAAGTTCTTATTAAATTGAGTTTTAAATATATTGCCTTTTAAAGTTGATTTTTTTTGTTATTATATTAAGCCGTGCTTTAATCACAAAATTTCACATATTCGTTTTTTCTTAAATTAGCCAAATTATACCAATCAATCAATGATTTTAGAGGTCCACTTAGGTCCACTTAGAAAACAAGTATAGCAAAAACTCCAGAAATTGCAAAAAAGCATGAATTGATTCTAAATACACAAATATGAAAAATGATGTGAGATTATTATAGTATATAATAATATATAAATGCATAAGCATGAGGCTAAAATCCTTTCTAAAATAAAATCTATAAAAAAGATGCGAAGCTTTTACAATTTTCCCAAGAATCTTTTCGACAACGATAAAAAAAACTGGACTTATTATGTCCTGATTTCCACTTATAAGCCTAAGTCTTTAAAGTTAATGAAAAACTCTCGAATGCATAGGTTATGCATATTCACCAATCGAAGACTGATTCTGTGACCAAAAAAAAAATATTAGTGCGAAAAAGATCAAAGCCTGTTAAACGATCTGTATTGTAAAATGGCAAACCTTAAGCTAAACACATAAAGCGTTGAATGATAGTTATATTTGACAGTAAATCAATAACTAGAATTCAATAACGTAAATATTTTCAAAACTTAAAAAAAAAGCATAAAAAATATGATTCTATTATTTTCGTGTCCAAACCTTCAGTTATCTACTAACTAAAGCTTTGTCATCATGGCCTGAATCATTTTCATGCCTACAAACCCATGTCCTCAGTGTATGGTATAATGGCAATAACCAGACAAAATAAAGGCTAGTCACCGGAAAATAAAAATTAAATAAAACCAGATATCAAGCTAAGTTTATTAATTGGTGCCCATTGCCCTGTCAGAACTGCTACAAGTATTCCACTTCTATCTTGCGTCTACACAGTATTTCGTTCTCGATAAATTGTAGCTTGGCCATGTTAGTTTGGATTTTTCATAATCCAAGCTGCTTGACATAAATTTTGGAATATAAAAAAATTATTAATAATTTTCTTTTTAAAAGGGGCTAATTAAATTTTTTTGTTTTTGAAAAACTTTTCTTTAAACCAATATTTCGACTATATTCTATGTATAATCATCTCCAGGGTACTACAATGTTCTTATTATTATATTGAAGCTATTTTAGCCAGTGCACTTGGCCACTTTTACTCTCTGTTAATTCGAGGTATCTTCAAAACCCCTCTTTACGCCTTGACTGGATTATTGTGTATTACTTCATCAGACTAAGCAATAATTGACCTCAGGGAGCCGCGGAAAGGTATAAAAAAAAGTTGGTCATTAAAACAATAAATTATTAAAAAAATTATTATAAAATTTGAATCGTGATGTTTTTTACAAAACTAATGTTTTTGATTATATCATAATTATTTATTATTATTATTGACATATTCAAAAATATAAATTCAAGAACTTAGTCTAATCAAACAGATTACAAATTATTTCTATCACGTGCTATAGCTCTTAGTTCACTGAAATATTTGGATGACTTTCTCTTGATTGTCCTTCTCCATGTAGTCTTTGATCAACCGCAATTTCTTCTTTCTTACGGATTTCATTCTAGAGCGGCATGTGCAATTTCACTGAAGGGTTTGCCTAGAGTGTGACCCAACCACACTTACTTTCTTTTTACGATTTGTTAATCAATTGGCTTTTGTCCTGTTATACCCAACAGTCGCTCGTTGTTCGTAATTCTTTGATGATAATAGATTATCTTCAACAAACAAGTAAAGTTTACCAGTACTTAAATCAGAGATAATTTTTCTGATTTAAGGAACTTTGAAAGTATACACCATATACACCTAAATAGTTACAAAATACTACAAAATCTAATGAAAAAGATGCATATGAAATAATTAATAAGCTTTTTTTATTTTAAAAATATTAAAAATCAAAACTTTAAATAATATATAAAAAAATTATTACTCATTTATTATTACTCTACTAATCATATTTTATATATATATTAAATTTCAGGAAATCGATTTTTAAAACGAAAACGCGTTTATCTCAACCGTTGTATCTAGTCTTTTTTTCTAAATACATACGCCATTCTATCTAAGCATTTACAGCCAAACCCCCTCATTGCCCTGTTCGCTTACATTGACAGGACCAAAGTAAGTACAATATATCGAAATATATAAAGCTTTAACATTTAATTGATAATTTAATTGGTAATTGATAATTGATAAGTGTAATTGATAATTATATTTGAAATTGTGGTAATTATAATGAATAGAATCTATTATTTAAAAAACATGCTTGTGTTTCACAGGCGTGATTTGTTCGCCATCTGAGTATAGTACTATATGATTTGATCGACCATCTGTAGAATGTAGAATTGCAACATTCTACATTTGAGTCCTTTAGAATTGCAAATAATCATCGTTATGCAAAAGTTAGTGGGAAGAAAAATATAACGTAGATGGTCGATCAAATCATATAGTACTATACTTATCTGGCATGACCTGTGTGAGTTCTTTCCGCTTCCAACGGGGAAGCCTGCCTCATCACTCTAAGGCAGGCATTCGCTGAAAAAGTTGAAGGCCCTTCCTCAATTAGCTAACGAAAATATTTGTAAGATTGGGTCACACACTGTAATAGATATATCGAAAGCAATTTTGATATTTTAATTAAATCCGATTACCGGAAACTTAATGCAAAAATAACTCTTTTAATAATGGAAAAAAAATGTTTCAAATTTTGAACTCTTTATATATATCTCTACTATATATTACAGTGTTTTTACTTATTAAGACGTAAAAATTTGTTTGGATTTGTATAAATTGATTTTGTACAGTACATTCCCTATAACAAAATATCTATATAATTTAATTATTGAAAGTCTTTAATATATATACATTTTTTTTATATTATATATATATATATTTAAAACGATATATATATATATATATATATATATATATATATATATTAGTTATGTATATTTTTTTATCATACATTTATTTAAATGTGGTAAAAGCTTAAAACCACTCTAAAATATTAAAGAGCTTTTCAATAGCATCTACTAAGGATGTATTCTTAAAAAAAAATATTTTGTCTGAGTACACTTAAACTCATTCAAGAATAAATCAGACAACATTTAATCAAAAGAGTAATAACAAGATTAGAATTAGAATTTACTAAAAAATTTAGCAAACTTAATGTATAACACAGAATATAAAGCCGGTAAAGAGTAATTAAAGTGAAAATTAGTGCCACTATTAAACTATTGAAAATATATATATTATATTTTAAAAATTACAAAAATCATGCAAAAACCTACATTATCGATATATTAAATCAAAAGTTGTCCTATACAATATTGAATCTCTGAACAAAATTACTAGATAAACAAAATATTCATAGCTTCTATATCAGAATGCAATAGGTTTCACGGCAAAATTTTCTACTGGCACCCACCTAATGGCACTCTCATAGTGCTCTATAAGTGCTCATCTAACATAAAAGTACAAATCAGGTCTCACAATGAGATGAAATCTATACATCTGAAATCAAGAAGAAACTGTTTGTTTTGAGTAGTATTGAAAAATTGGCAATATTATCTACCTTGTAACCAGTCCATGCCTAAACTTTTTGAAAAAGAAAAGAACAAACTATATTATAGGTAAAACCCAGTTTTATTAAGCAGCAAGGCTATAACTCTTTGCGAGCCTGTTTTAATGACTTCATAGAGTTATCAGAAGTTAATATCGATCGAGTAAAAATATTTTGGTTAAAATGATACAGGTAGCTTATTAAATAAAAAATTTTAAGAGGTCTATGTTAGAGGTCTATATAAATTTTTTGAACAAAATAAGCTGAAATAATATTAAATAAGTCTGGATTAAACTTAAAATAATTAAATTTTAATATAAAATTGATTATATTTGAAACAAAAATTTCAATTAAATTCTCCGGGTTCAGATTTTTCCAGAAATAAGTATCGATAGTAGTGAAAATATGAAAAATTTGTTATATTATTCAAAATAATAACTTGTGTTTTAATTGTTTGTTTTAATTTTTTATTGTTTGTTAGTTTTTATTGTAAAAATAATAATAATAATAATAATATGGAAATAATATTGTTATTGAAATAATAATACTATTACAGAACAATATATTATCACCATATTATTACTTATTAATAATAAGAAGTAAAAACAATTTTAAAAGTAAATCTAATTAATTTATAAATTATTAAATTTTTTTTAGCAATTTTCTTGAAATAAAAGGAAACTAATGTACATATATTGATTACAGAAGGTTGTAAGTAGTTTTTATATTGTGCTCGAAGAAATTTATTTTCATTTATTTTTAGTAATAGCGAATTCCCGATATTCTAATAGCAAATTCAAAAATAAAATGTTAACATATCAGAATTTGCTATTAGCATGTAGGCCACTTCTTGAAAAGGCCGATTTTAGTCAGTCTAGAGATGTGGATAAACAGACAGCTAATACACTCATTCTAACATTGTTGGCGCATGTGAGAGAATTGGAAATCAGATACTGTACTCAACTTTTAAAAAATGAGACATTAGAATATGCAGTGGCGTACTGGGAGAAACAATATGATCGAATTCTACAATTTAATGGTTTTATTGCTAGTACGAATCAGGTTTCGGATTCAGAAGTACGCGTCGCTAAACTAGAAAATTTAAGACTACGTCTTGATATCTTAAATATTCGGTGTGAAAGGGAAATACTTGCTTCGAAAATTCACACTGATAAATCTCGTATATATCACTTAAAGGAAGAAGTAGAAACAGCTGCAGACAAATTAAGACTCGAAAAAGATACAAATGAAGATTGTACAAATACAGCACATCAATTCCAATATGACAATTTTAATTCAAGACAATTCTTGCCTACCAATAGACCGCTACGAACACTCTTTATTAATGATATTGATGACAATACCCCAACGTGCAGTCGATATGTTCAAAACGAATCAAATAGAAATGGACAGTTGAGATATGGGTCAAATCAGTCAAACTACAGACCTGTAAAACAACATAAACAGCCAGTCGTTGGAAGTGAGTCCTATAAAGTTGCATCAACTATGAACCAATATGTACATGCTAAGCATGGATATCCAAATTGTCAACTAAGAATTGCACCTGTTCAACCACTTATAATAACTGAAGGAGAATCTGATGAACAAAGCTTAGAAGATATCTCACCTCACCAAGATACCATAAATGATAATAAGAGTGAAGATAAGAAATCAACTTGTAGTCAGTATTCACAAAATCAAATTAACAATAGCGAGAATTATAAAAGTAAGTTTAATAATAACATAAATGTAAAAATAAGAAACTATATGACACTTGATTAACATAATATTTAAATAGGTTCATTACAGGAATCTGCAGATTACCCAATTGCCGCTGGCACTTCATACATAGAAAAATATATAGGCTATATATCGAGTGATATGAATGTTAATGCAGTTAATACTGACCAAAGTCAAAACGAACAAATTCAGATGCATGATGTGAATGATGGTAAGGTTAAATAGTATATAATATTTTAAACATTTTTTTAATTTTTTTTTTGTACAAATAAAGTGCTGAAAACTGCTGCGGTAAACGGAACCGACGATAGCAATGACCACAAACCATTAAATTTGCCCCAAATTCTTGAAAATCAATATCGTACCACTGCCTCTGATTTCCAATTATCTCAAAATGCGCCAACATTGTTAGAAGTAGTCGAAAATATAATGAAAAATTCAGTTCCTCAATGTAATAGTAGAATACTAGATAATACTTTTAACGTAAACAATTCTACTATTGAACTGGAAAATGAAGAATATTCTACTAAAGTTATAGCAGACACGGACCTCCATCAACAAAAAATTAAAAAGAGGAAGCCTTTAAATAAAAAAAAAAACAGAAAACGAGTTTCTGAAGAGCCTAATATTGAAAGTATTAATGAAACTACGACCATGTCTAAATCAAAACGCACAAGTACTAATAATACGGTCGGACTAACTACCATCAATAATTCTTCAATGGAAAAATATACAAAAGGTACTAATAAAGCTACAACACATTTTACATTAAAAACACATGAAGTACACAGCTTGGAACATGCCTCAAATGACAAACAGAGAAAAACCACTAAACCAGTGTTGGGGCTTATTACTAAAACTGCTTTTAAAGCAAAAATTAGATACAAGCTTAAAAGCGCTATTCATAATACAAAATTTGCATCGAGCCGTAAACAGACAGACAATTCAGTTATGCATTACGCCAATAAACCAAAACCGAATTTAGTTAGGTCTAACACTGCCCTTTTCGATTTAAGGCATATTAAAAACGCTTCAGCGATACTAAATAAGCCCTCTAATCCATTTCCCTATTTAAATTCGTCTATTTTAGTTTCTAATCAGGTTGACATAGGTTTCGGTAATAACCGAGTCTTTAATTTGAAGAATGTTCCAGAAAATAACTTGGATTTCAGTAAAACCAAAACTTTGACACAATTTATTAATTGTATAGGTAATGGAAACAATCAAATATTTAATTCCAATGACGATTCTGCAACTGTTGGTTATGGTAAAATTCAAACTTCCAAACAAACTAACACTGGTGAGAGAATTTTATGTACCAATAATGCCTCCAACAGTCCGCCAATCTCCTGTGTAAAACCAGACCATCCATTCAGTTTGGGGTTTGGCATGTTAGCGACAGATGAAAATGCGCAATTATTGGTACAACAAACTTATCCGCATAATGTTTATCATTTGATACCAAATCAAGAAACTATGAATATACCAACCAATGATAAGAAACCAATAGTTAAGAATGCAGAACCTAGCAGTAAAGTAAATTCCGAATTTCAAGATACGACTTCAATTCACAGCGACATTACTGGCAATGACAATGGTATGAACCAAGCTGCGCGTAAAAAGAAAAAGAACAATAAAAAGAAACGTAAAGCTAAATCATCTACACTAAATGATAATCAGAACACAAGCTCTAATAATGTGGCACAAGATGATAAAGATACACCTCCCTGCTATATGCCGCCCGGTTTTACTGGAAATAAATCTCAACAATATGAAAGAACTACGAAGGAATTGCAAGTCACACCTCAAAATCCTAATAATCCTGTGGCAAATAAACTGAACAAACAAACTGACAAATCAGTGAAAAGTACTAAGAAGAACAATAAGTACTCTGGTTCTGTTGATGAAAAAAGTAAGCCTGGATTATATAAGAATACCGAAAATAAAGTCGAATTGGTTCATGATATAATTAACACTAATCAGGGCAATAGTTTATCGAATAACTCCGATATATATACTTCAAATCTCAAAGTGTCTGACGATGTTAAAAAGAGTGAAGCTATTAAAAAAATTGAGGTTGAACAAAACAATCAACTTTCTAATACTGCTAAGAGAATCAAGTGCGATGAAGTCAGAATAAATTGGAAATCTAGTGCTGTGCATGCGTATAATAGCAAAACTAGTAAACAGATTAAATACAGTAATGATGATACATCTTGTGATAATGCTGCCATTATTAAAAGTGATAGCGGCCAAACCAATAACGGCAGTAATTTTTACTTGGACGTAGCAAAAACCGCCAGCAACACCCTTACCACAGGTGGATTTTCTGATAATAGTAATCAAAGTCAGCCAGAATGCGTACAATATATACAATTTGGAAGTGATGAAGATATCGAAATACATGATGAAAATGCAACTAATATCGAAGAACTTGAATATACTTTCAGTGCTGTGGGCATGTACGACAGAGAGACTATTATCAAGAGAGAAGCTGAATATAAGTTAAATGGGAATAATGCTATAGCAAGAAAACTCAGAGAGTTACAGTTTGGCTCTGATGATACTCCAGATGCACTCGACCTAATGACCGATAAAAATAAACATCGTGATATGACTACAAATCAAAATGAGTTAAATGTTAATAGTGTTCAGATAAGTCCCAGTCAAGATACTAGTGATAATTTTATTGCTAAAAACGAGTTAAAGTTTGGCAATTTTGAAACACTATTTCAACCGAACTTGCTAGCTGATGCACTTAAATACCGTAATGTCACTGCTAATGCAAATGATTCTGAATTAAGTGGCAATCATGTCAAGGCTTCTTCTATGAAATTCCCGAATCAAGTAAATGCTAGCTTAAACAGTTCCAATAGTAAATACCGTAATGTCACTGCTAATGCCAATGATTATGAATTAAGTGGCAATCATGTCAAGGCTTCTTCTATGAAATTCCCGAATCAAGTAAATGCTAGCTTAAACAGTTCCAATAGTAAATACCGTAATGTCACTGCTAATGCAAATGATTATGAATTAAGTGGCAATCATGTCAAGGCTTCTTCTATGAAATTCCCGAATCAAGTAAATGCTAGCTTAAGCAGTTCTAACAGTAAATACCGTAATGTTACTGCTAATGCAAATGATTATGAATTAAGTGGCAATCATGTCAAGGCTTCTTCTATGAAATTCCCGAATCAAGAATATGCTAGCTTAAACAGTTCCAATAGTAAATACCGTAATATCACTGCTAATGCAAATGATTATGAATTAAGCGGCAATCATGTTAAGACTTCTATGAAATTCCCGAATCAAGAATATGCTAGCTTAAACAGTTCCAATAGTAAGTACCGTAATATCACTGCTAATGCAAATGATTATGAATTAAGCGGCAATCATGTCAAGGCTTCTACTATGAAATTCCCGAATCAAGAATATGCTAACTTAAGCAGTTCCAACAGTAAATACCGTAATGTCACTGCTAATGCCAATGATTATGAATTAAGCGGCAATCATATTAAGACTTCTATGAAATTCCCGAATCAAGAATATGCTAGCTTAAACAGTTCCAACAGTAATGGTGATAAGTCTATTATTACTAATAACAAAAACGATAATCCCACTTTAATGGGTCTTAATTATTCAAATTCCATTGAAAATCAACATAAGCTTGTACCAAGTAATGACATCAGTACTGATGCACACTCTCGCAAAGATACTGTGAACTTGAACATTGTTCCGAAAACTTCTGATCCCTGTAATGACAACAAGCAAAATGATATTAAGAAATCAATTGAATCTCAATCACTTGCTAAACATTGTATTGAAAGTGAAACTAGTGATATCGAACAAAATAAAGCTAAGCACCGTAGACGTATATGCTGGGCTGACGAAGAAATTTCAGACACAGAATTCCCAAAGTGCGATAAAAACCTGAATACTAAGATTAAAAAGAGAAACAAAAAAAAGAAAGCGCTAATTTCGAATAAACTAACTACTGATTCTAATTTACCTACTGGCAGTGATAACACTAAGGGCAAAAATCAATCATTCAGCTATTTCATGAATAGCGAAACTAATGAAGAACCAAGCAATGATAGTTGGGCAGAACGTTTCCTAACTGATATACAACTTGATAACGAAGTTTACGATGCTGACAAAAAAGCTAGCGCTAAGTGTGTTCAGAAGAAAGTAACCACATTTGGAGACGGTAAACACAATCCAACCAAGATGAGCCTAGAAGATTATCCTACCATTAACGACAGCATAAGTGTGTTACTAAAATATATTGTTAAAATTAGTTATGAACCACATAAATATTCCTTTTTAGATATCAAAAAAGCTCATCAAGCAAGCGCCATTGACACTTACACCACTAACGCTGAAACTACGACTATTTCAAAGAGTAGAAAAAATATATGTCAAAATGATAAAACCACACCTATACAGGATTTCTACATCAACAATGGTAATTAAATTAAATAATCCCGATAATGGGTGTTAATGAAAATAATATATTTACAATCTATACTTTTATTAGATAAAAACAACAAACGTAAAGATTTGAGTACTGGCAATTCAGACACTATGTTGGAGAGTAAAAATATTAAACAAATTGCACCACAAAAAATGGCAGAACCTACACTAACACCAAGTAAGCCTATTATGAATATCCAAAATAATTTGTATAAAATCAATACTTTTTTTATAAGGTAAAAATTATAAACATAAGGATGTTAGTACCGGCACTTCAAAAACAATGGTGGAGAGTAAGAATATTAAACAGCCTGAACCACACAAATTTGAAGAAACCACACCAACATCAGGTAAGCCCATTATGAATCTCCAAAATAATTTATACAAAATTTATAATTTATACTTTTATTAGGTAAAAATTATAAACGTAAGGATGTTAGTACCGCCACTTCAAAAACTATGTTGGAGAGTAAGAACATTAAACAACCTGAACCACACAAATTTGAAGAAACCACACCAACAACAGGTAAGCCCATTATGAATCTCCAAAATAATTTATACAAAATTTATAATTTATTTTATTAGGTAAAAATTATAAACGTAAGGATGTAAGTACCGCCACTTCAAAAACTATGTTGGAGAGTAAGTACATTAAACAGCCTGAACCACACAAATTTGAAGAAACCACACCAACACCAGGTAAGCCCATTATGAATCTCCAAAATAATTTATACAAAATTTATAATTTGTACGTTTATTAGGTGAAAATTATAAACGTCAGGATGTAAGTACCGCCACTTCAAAAACTATGTTGGAGAGTAAGAATATTAAACAGCCTGAACCACACAAATTTGAAGAAACCACATCAACATCAGGCAAGCCAATTATATATTTTGAATATAATATATATAAAATCTATACTTTTATTAGGTAAAAATTACAAACGTAAGGACGTACGTACTGGCACTTCAAAAACTTCTTTGGAGAGTAAGAATATTAAACAGACAGCACTACACAAATTTGCAGAATCTACGCCAACACCAGGTAAGCCTATTATGTCTTTCTAATATAATATATATACTTTCACTTTCATTAGATAACAACAACAAACGTAAATACTTAACTGCTGTTGGTTCTAATACTAAGTTGAAGAATAAGAATGCTAAACAGATTACACAAGACAAAGTTGCAGTTTCTACCTCTACCGCAGGTAAATCGATAGTGTATGTTCTTATTACTTTTTACTCAATTGTATGTTTTATATACTAGATGAAAGAGCTTGCAATGAAGTCAACGTAAATCAAGTTTCTTCAATTACCGAGCAAGACCTGAATCAACAATCAAAAAAACAGCCACTAAATAATATGGATGAATGGTGTGTTGACTTTTCAACAGTCATAAAAAAGAAGAAACGTATGCGACCCCTACCTCCAATAAAAAAATTACTTGGCAAGCCAGAAAAAAAATCAGAAGATAAGAATGAAAACAGTTTAAATGATGTATATTCTAATGAAACAAAAATAGAGAATGACGATATTCCTACAACATCGAAACATGTACCAGTAATTTTAGAAAATGGCCAAGAACTGGTACCTCTTATGCGTGAGAAAACAGAGGAGGAATTGGGAATGGTTCCCAACAAAACAAAAACCAAGAGGCAAAGAAAACTAGAAAAAACTGCAGCCGACCAGGCAACGGCTTCATTATTTAAAGGGAATTTCAGTTCTACCCACAGAAAATATAAGTAATGACACAGAATATTAAAACATTTTATATCCATAGCTTCCAAAAGAAACAATAAGTAATCAATTATCTAGATTCTAAAACCAAATTTTTTTCGAAAATAATTTCCATTGCTATGAGTTATTGCATATTTTATTTCAAAATTTTAAATTTAATAGTAGCCCAAAAATTTTTTTAAAATTACTTAGTGTGCTTCAATATACTTCTTGAAGAAAAGATAAAATTTGTTAATTTAATATATTTCAAATATCGGAGGAGCAGAAAAATTTGCGTATTTTAAATTTTAAATGTAAAAGCTTGCTTAAATTTTTAAATTTATTAAATAAAACTTTCTTAATGTATTTAATATAACAAAATCTGAAATATTTATTTTGTGCCCAAATCTCCACTTTTCTCAACCAAACTAGAGCTGTAGCACTGTCATGTCCTCGTAACTAAAAACATGGTTATAAAGCCATACCCTCAGTGTATTGTGCAATAACAATACCCGGACTAATGCGTACTCAGATATGATATGAACAGAGGGCAATTTTTTTTTACCTCAGTGTAGATGATCGATCGATAACAACATATAGAGGTCTACATACCTATAATAGATATTAACATTATTTTTAATGTTTCCTATACACATATACATATGTATATATACATATGTAACTAAATCAAATGTTAGCATTACACAAAATACAGTATGTGTTGACATAAATGTTTACAATTAAATACACAAACATTGTGCTTATTCTAAATAGAACACAACAGAGATATCATACATTTATATGTCACATTAAGTCACTTCCTTGCTACGTTGGTCGAACGCAGCTTAGATTTCGGTCCTTTGTATTTAGATTTTTATTTTAATTTACAAACAGTAATACCAGCGAGCGAATCTATAACGCTTAAAGAGGTCCAATTTGAACTCTTCGGATTATAGCAACAACATAACGGTTGGAGCTCGAGTTTAGATAACTATCAAACCTACGGTTCTCTTATAAGGCAATGCCATGTATAGGTAATGTTAGCGTGTTATTTGGAATGACATCCATGTATATGCGTTTATTGGAGGAATTTAAGTGTACCGTCTAATAGAAGCATAATTGCGAGGGGCCAAAAAAATGTGAAAGATAATTAAATGGATCATTTGTAAAGTTCTTTTCGTTCTGCAAAATTATGGGAACACCCAACTTTGCTGAGCTTAAAACATTTAACAAGTATATAAGCAAAAGAATCAATGAGATCTTTCCAATTTGATCAAATAAGCTATACAGACCTTTGATTAGAACAATAGAGTATATATGCTTAACATATGAGTTTTGTTGAATTTGGAGCTATCAAAGACTTCTAACATTTTTCACATGACCATAAATATAACATCTGGAGATAAACAATGTAGTTTCGTTAAAAATTACTTGACTAAGTAAGCGGTTGATGTAAAAGAAAACAATCGCTTACTTATCTGGATTGTATTAAACACTGCTGGAAAACAATGATTATAATTCCATTGAATTTTTTTATCTAACCACATTTCTTTTTACATTTGAGTTTAATTATTTTTTCAAAGTATATAAATTTATGTATTATAGTTTTAAGAAATATATTAAATAAATTTTACAAGAATAAAATAAAAATGTTAATAATTTTATTTTTAGCTAATTTGCTGAAAATACAAAATTCATATACGTTAAAATAAATAAAATTTATTTTTACCTCTTAATAGCTCAATTTTTGACCCAAACGCATAACTGCAGAAACTCAGATGTCTAGGAAACAACCAGGTTATACATTCGAACTCAGCAGTCTCAAATTGAAAGAATTTCATATTTTTAAATAAGTATTTTGCAGAATCTCAGTATTTTATGTATATACTTGCAGTATCAAATAATTAAAGGCTTAAAGGCCGAATGTCTAAATAAATTCAATGACTGGTTTAATGAAAATAACTACAAAAGTATAGTCACATTCTAAATATTCTAAGTCTTCCTTTTTCACATTCTATTAATAGTTTTATAAAATTGAAACTAATTGGCAGTTTAATTTGATGTTATTATACCATGTTTCCACTGGTCTTATATAGATAGTTTTGCTCATTAAGACCGCTAAAGAAAACAATTTACCATACAAATAGCTTTCATATAAATGAGCTCATTATAAATAAATCAACTGATTTAAGTAGAAAAATTTCGAATGCAACTTTTTAGAATATATTTCCCACGATGGAAATTACTAAAATTTTAAGTATTATATGTAAAGTGTATGTAATGGATATAAAAAATATATATGTAAATAAATAATTTAATATATCAATTACATATTTAATTTTTTGTGTGATATATTATTAAGTGAAGTTAATGAAAATTTATAAAAGTTCTATCAGCTATTAAAATAAGCTAATTATGAATAAATCAACTGATTTAAGTAGAAAAATTTCGAATCCAACTTTTTAAAATATATTTGCTACAATGAAAATGACCAAAATTTTAAATATTTGTTATATGTCTTAGATTGAAAGTGTATATAATGGATATAAAAAATATATATGTAAATAAATAATTTAATATATCAATTGCAAATTTATAAAAGTTCTATCAGCTATTAAAATAAGCTAATTATGAATAAATCAACTGATTTAAGTAGAAAAATTTCGAATCCAACTTTTTAAAATATATTTGCTACAATGAAAATGACCAAAATTTTAAATATTTGTTATATGTCTTAGATTGAAAGTGTATATAATGGATATAAAAAATATATATGTAAATAAATAATTTAATATATCAATTGCATATTTAATTTTTTGTGTGATATATTATTAACTGTAGTTTATAAAAGTTCTATCAGCTGTTTAAATCTGCTCATTATAAATAAGTCAACTGATTTAAGTAGAAAAATATCGAATGCAACTTTTTAAAATATATTTTCCACAATGAAATTTACTGAAATTTTAAATATTTGTCATATGTCTTATATGTAAAATCCATAAATCAGCTTCACATCCATAAATCAGCTTATGCCAATGGAAACGACTAAATCTTAATTACATTACCAGAGATAGTTTTATTTGCAATGGAAACATGATATTATTAATTAATTACTTGGAAGGCAAATCATCAATCCGTACCTATAGTTTTCAATTCTTAATGTTACTTTATTAAGGTTAAGAATTGGTGGTTTGTAATATATTTTAATAATGCTTTAAAATATATAATTTTGTGGAATTTTCCAATATGATATGTATGATATGTAGGTATGTATGTGTTCAATTATTTGCAGAGTTTATATTTTACTTCCAAATCCTTTCGTTTTCACATCTGTTTACTGAAAGTAATTCATTTTCACAACAAAGGATTTTAAATCCCTGTTGGCTTAAATTTTGATTTGCATAACAAAGAAAATAAAATAAAACGAATGTTTGAAGTAAACGAAAAAAAACGCCAAAAAAGTGAAAAAGAAGACACTTAACTTTTATCAAAAATGCAAATATTTATCAACTTTTCCTAGTAAACATTTGTAAAGTTTTTTTTATATTTCAGAACAGAGTAAACAAAAAATGTTATATATTTAAATCCACAAAACGAAAATATGGCAAGGACTAACAGGCTAAGGAATTCACACACAAACGAAATAGTGGAAAAATAGTCAAAAAAAAAAAAAAAAAAAAAAAAATAATACCATTTATATTATATTTTATAGAGGTTTGCGCGTTTCCATTGCATACAGTAGTGTATGCTTTGTATCTGCTCAGCAACTCCTTAAAGTCGTCACATTTGCATTGAAGTAGCAAAAACTGCATAAAGACGTCTTAAATCATCACATTCTCCTCTTTTTTTGTGCAGGCAACGGAAAATGAATTCCGTTATGAAAGTAGTTTAGTGGAGTACACGAGAGTCAGCGTAAGGACAATAGTAAGCACAACAACGCGTTGCATATGCATTGCCTAAAGAGGCAAGTCCCAGTAGCTGGAAACCGTCATGGTTGGTAGTGCCCGTAATGGTTGAAATGCCAGCCAGATCTTTAGCTCCACAGCTTTGGCACCAACACTTTATTTGAATTATTATGATAATTTAGCAGACACTTCGTGTTCTGTACTACTTTAAAATAGAAATAAATAAAACGTGAAAAATACGAAATGCAATTTAAGCATAATTTCATTTAGCCTATTTTTTATCTTAAACTTTGGTTAATTTTTAAAATAAAAAAATTTCATTCACCACAATATGAAAAATGAGAATAGTCCGATTAAAGATATGTCTTTTATTTTAAGAAAAAATATACTTTGATACACTTTAAATGTGTTTTTTAATATTACACTCATATTTTTTCATTCATTAATTGTTATTATTATTATGACATGTTCTTCATTATACCAAAAAAAAAAATATTAAATTTAGAATTTAGTCTATTCACAAATAGTAGTTATAAAGTTCTTTCATTCTTCTCTATTTCTGACAGCAAAACATAGCTGATTAAAGGTTTTGTTAGTTTTGAGACGACCTCATCTCCTCACTCCTTGCGGTTTTCATTCCATGACTGCGTGGGCAATTGCATCTATTGGCTTTCTAGGCCAACCGTATTTGAGTTTCTGAATTTCTTTCTCTATTGGCTTTTGTTTGGTGCGTATCTTCGTTGGAGACTCTTGCAGGCTACCATATGATCAGAATACACCATGTTAGCGATGTTAGCGACCATGTTTCGCACCCATATAATAATGTCGATTTTACGCAGGCGTTAAATATTCTGATCTTAATTTCGGAGCTTACATTATTGGCATTTCAGACTTTGTTAAGCGACGCGAAAGAGCTATTTGCCTTTTTCACTCTGCTGTCGATATCCTTTGACGTACCACCATTGCTGTGTACTATACTTCCCAGGTACTCCAGTTTCTGCACGTCTTCAATGTTATGATCACGCAAAAGGATAGGCAATTGATTACTTGCTTTCACTCTAATTGTTTTTGTCTTTGTGGCGTTAATGTTTAGGCCAACTTTATATGACTGTTTTGCATATCAGTATGTCTGTTTGCTAACAATACTACATCATCTGCATATTCGAGATGACCAAGCTTTTGATTCAGCTTCCAACCGATGCCGATTGGGTGTTCTTCCACAGCTTCGAGAACGACATCTAGGACTGTCATAAACAGTAACGGTGAGTACTTTAAATGAGTTTCAATTAAATAAACTCTTATAATAATAAAATAGCAGTGACAAAATCAACTAATGGTACAATAACTAATTAATAAGTTAATCAAACATACGTGAAAATTAATTCATTTAATATTGTAGC